GCAGCAGCAGACATCTGCCGGGGCACGGTATGTGAAAAGTTCAGGGACTGATGAGGGAAAGGCAGTTTGAAAACTTTTTTAAAAGAAAAAAAAAAAAACAACATTTTAGGCCAAATGAAGCATGAAAAATACTCAAATTAAAATAAAGACTTAAAAAAGCATTAGCTGTTCTTGCCTTTGTAAGGAAGCCATCTGTAAAGTTTGAATGGCTGAGGATATGATTTGGATCCTACCCTACTCTTTGCTGAGACTGTTTTCCAGACAGGCCCAGCTGTTCTGGGGAGGAACCCAGTGGAAGTGTCGGGTCCGCTTCACCCCCAGCCTCCTCTTTAACCCCAAGCCAGAGACACCCACCCAAAACGACTGGCTCCCCAGGTCCTCCTTCAGCCAGCCTCACCCCTGCCATTTCCCAGAGCTCGGACAAAGTCTCCACTTTACATTCTAGAAGTCCAGGGAAGCAATTTCAAGTCAAGCTGATTTTAAACGTTTAGAATGTGGCTTCCCGCCTCCTTCTTGTGACCACAGAAGCCCTGTCTCCTAAAGCAACGATTCTCACCGTTGAGAGCATCACAGGAACTTGTTAAAATGTCAGTTCCTGGGCCCCATCTCACTCCCATTCTGGCCCCATTGGCCTTGAATCTGCATTTTAACAAGCTCCCAAGGCAATCCCGATACTGGAAGCCCCTGGACTTCACTATGAGAAATCACGTTTGGAAGGAAATGGTGCCTCAGTCGGAACTTAGTTGCTGGTCTCATTCACCCAGCTGTATCCCCGAGTTAATAACTAGCACAATGCCCCAGGCACTGCAGGGGCTCCGGGTCCATTGGATGGATGGGGGAGGGGAGAGAAGGGAGGGCTGCTCAAGAAAGATGGACCCCAGCCAAAGGATTCCCAAATTAACATAGCAAAACAGGCTGGAAGAAAGCATCACACTTCTTATAAAAATGTTTCTCTGAAAATGTGTCAACTGGGGCTGACTCATTTTTAACCAAGAATTCTGTAAAAGACACAAGAGCATGTGTAACATGGACAACACGGCCACAGGACAGGCAGACCAGATGCAGCCTTGAGAGCCACGAGCTGCAAGTGAATGAAAACACATCCAATTCAGAATTAAATAAACATGGCTGGGCCCGCAGCCAAGGAGAGTTCTTGGATTGGACTTTTATCAGGAACCTAAATTTTAATCAGCTGGAACTTCTTCTTTTCCAAGTACCACCCTATTCCTTCCTACCTTTAGAGATGAAGTATTTGCCTTAAATGGGAAACTTGCACTTCATTGTAAAGACGATGCCAGCATTCTGGCTTCCTGAATTCCTGAAGGAACAGACTTTGGTGGGGGAAGGGGGGGGGGGAAGTGGAAATTGTGTTTCAGGGATAATAGACCAGGGAAGGTGTACCCCATCTAGGTAAGAAGGCAAGAAATGTTCCCTCCTCCTCCACTGCAGGAAAAGCCACTAAATAAAAACCTGTGGGAATAGATTCCTAATTTCTTGTTCCATAAATAGGCTTCTCAAACAACCAGCAAGGCAAGAGGAGGGGAAAAAACCTCAGTGCAAGTGACCAACATAAAGTTACCCATCACAAACAAAACCATTCCATTTCCAAGAAGCAAGCAGTTAAGACTCAGTGTAAATGAGGATGCTGGCCCTCTGGAAGTTTTACAACTTGTTACTTCTTTGCAAAAACTGTATTTATTACTCAAAGAGCAACTTTACCTGGCAAGAGCCCTAAGAGACTTAAAAAAAAAAAAAAACTAGTTGAGGAAGTGAGCCCACAATTCATTTCTAAAACACTGTGCTGTGTTCAAGATGATATCGGCCCCTTAATTGCCCCGCTAATAATGGGGAGGTTGTGAAATCTGACCACTTAGACCAGGCTGGCTCCTCTGAGAGCAGCCCCGAAGGGAGGGTTACAGCTGCTGAGGGTTAGCTGGCTCCAGTCACCTTGCAAGTCCTGAGAAAATACACATTCCTGCAGGGGCAAGAGTTCCTGGAACAACCTCTCCCTGGAGAGCCAGGGGGTCAATCGCTCAGCCCCTCTCCAGCACCCAGATCCTGCCCCTCCTGAGGGCTCACTTCTCTACCCTGCTGTGTCTCCAGCTTCTCAGGTTCTGTGTGACGTAGACCCACAGGAAGCCCTCTCTTGCTTGCATCACACATCACCGACCCTTATTCTTATATGTTAACATAGCCCCAACTAGACTGTAAGCAACCTCAGTCAGCACTGAGACTAAGTACTATGGGCTGAACACCCACTAACTGGTAGGGGACTCGGACATGAATCAAATAGCCAAGTAACTGTACACCAGTACTTACTGGGCAGCCCTCTGACAGCGCAACTTCCGTAAAAACTTACCTAGGGAGGTAGGGGCAGAGGAGGCTTCCTGCAGGAAGTGATGCTGGAGCTGAGAGGGGAGGTTGAGATGTAAAGAGAAGGAACACAGGCGGGAGTAGCATGTACAAAAGCTCACTGCGGAGAAGACACTGGAGCTCACTGCTCTGATCGTGGCCCTTCCCCCACCCCCCCTTCTTAAAATCGATCACTTCATACAGGATTTAGCAGGAAGGCTGCAGGGTCTAATTGGGTTCAGCCAAGATTTACAGGGCTCCAGGCTCTGAGCTCACCAACATAAGGTTAAGCGTCTGGCTAAAGAAACTACTCTGAAGACACAGATGTGAACAAATACTGATGATGTAGTCTGGTGAGAACCAAAGGCAAGGACCTGCAGGAGAAGGCGAAGCAAGGGGAATGGCATTCAGAGGGCATCCTTGAGGAGGCATCACTTGAGCTGAGTCTTAGGCCAAGCAGGGGGTTCTCAGGGGAGGAAAAGCTATCCCAGGAGCAGGGAAAAAGCATGCCTCGGCAGCAAGAAGGGCACAGGAGTTAGGGAGCAGGGTGGGAGGGCCAGGGGCTGGAGTTGGAAAGGTGAGTATGTAAGGCAGGTGGACAAGCTGGGTCAGGGAAAGCTGGTGGCTCCATCAGATGCATCAAAAGACCAGTCCAGGAGGGAAGGAGCCACGTATCAGGTTGGGAAGAGCCTAGAATACAGGAGATGGCCCTGAGGCTTCCATGCTCATTCAAAAAGTAGGTGAAGATGACCCCAAGGAAAGGACTGTGAGGCCAAGGTAGGAGCTGTTGAGAAGGTCACCCCCAGCATGAATGTGAAGCCACTGGGATGAGGGCCCCCATTAATCCTGTGGGTGTGCAGGTTTAGGGGCAAACACATTCCCACAGAGAGCACAAAACCGCCAGCTTGGCTCCTCTGGGGCCCGGCTATACCCACAGCATTAAAACTTCACAAGGTCTTTGCACTGACACGTGAAGCCACCTGGGCAAGTGCAGAAAAACAGCAAATTGGGCTGATCCACCTAGGCCGGCTTATGAAAATTCAGAATAAAATATCTGTGATGCTATTATTCAAAAGCCAACACACCAGTTTAGATCCAGAAAATTTAGGATTGGTAAGTCAACATGGGAAAGCCTTAAGGAAAACTTTTTGATCTAAAAACTGAGGAAAACTTGGTATCTATTGAAAAAAAAAAAAAAAAACAAGAATTGTGGTATTTTTACTAAAATGGGACAGAGTAAGAAAATGTGATGTTTTACTCAAATCGGAAGGTTACAGTCACTATGGGGTTGGTGAGAGGGTGGGTTATAGCTGTCTATAGCATAGCTATTGGGTTTGAAGACATTTCAGCTACTTGGTTCATACCTCGTTTTCTGCACTGTGTTTCTCTGAATGCGGGGCAAGTGAGCTGGAGGCACCAGCCTGTGCCCCTAAAGGGATGTCAGATTCTAGGCCTCAACTGCTTGAGGTCGTTCAGAGCACCCCACAAGAGGTGGGTGGACGTTGTTCTAAGAGAACTACCCCGTACCCATCCCTCAGAGCAGTAGTGCTAGGGAAACTAGGAAATCCCATTTACTCCTCTTTTCCAGGTGAAGAAATTGAGGCTCATGGCTGCCCAGGAGAAGAGCCAAGGTCATGTTCCATGGCTGCCTGAGTGCAAACCGGTGTCCCCTCCACAAGGCTGAAGGCCGTGAGTGCCCTGACACCAGGCTGGTCCTGGCTTGGTTGGGAGGGGTGCTGGGCAGATGGACACAGTCTCCAGGTCCTCTGGCCGCCCAAGCCCAGGAGCCCTGATAGAAACTCGGGACGGCAGCGTCCCCGCGCACACCCCCCTCCCCATGTCCCATCGCCCAGATGGCATCGAAGAAGCGCTGGGTTAGGGGCAGAGGGCTCCAAGCACAGGACAAAGTCGGTGCATCCCTCCAGTCTCGTCTCGGGCATCTGCCCGAGGGGACAAGCTCATTCCTCCCTTTGGCCACGAAAAATATCCTCAACTCAAGCTGGATGGCGGTGGCGGTGGGGGGGTCATCCGTGAGACCGTTCGAAGGGCTGGATACGGGAGCAAAATTTACCAGCAAGTCAGGAGTCTGAGGTGGGGGTGAAAGTGGGGTAAGACGGCCTGGCCCAGAAGGAACAAAGCGGCTCCGAAAGAGGGGGGGCGCACCCCTCCCCAGCACTCAGGGTCCCCTGCCTGGCAATCCCGGGCTTTTGCAGAGTTTTGGACCGGAGGTCCGAAAGAAGACCCCCACTCCCGCTCCAAAGCGCCCCCCATGCGAACAGCTCGGAGGATCCCAGCCCGGGGCCCTGTGTCCTGAGAGGGAGGAGGTCCCGGGCCTGGAACAAAGGGTGGGGCGCCCTACTCCTGCCCCACGCCGGGCGTCCCTCTCGCCCGCCCTCCTGGAGCCGGACCCCGGCCAGTGGCCGCGCCTCATTAGCAACACAAAGCCGGGGTCGAGCGGCCTCTTTCAACCCAGCCGAGGCAGGCAGACGAGCGACCCGGGAGGGACGCAGGAGGGCGGGAGCAGCGGGATCCCAGTCCCACCGCGCACTCTGCGGAGAGCAGGCAAGTCGACGCGGGCGCCACTGCCCGCGAGCACCTGTGCCCCCGCGCTTTGGGGGACAGCAAGAAACTCGCTGTCCTCTCCTTACCCTCCAGCCACAGGTGTCGGCGCCCCGCGTTCTGCTGGAGCCGCCTGCTGCCACTGCCAGCTGGGAGCCGTTGAGGCAGGCGTTGACTGTGAAGAAGACAGAGCAGAGCTGCAGCCACGGGGCCATGGCCGTGCGCTCACCCAGCCCGGCCCTACTCTGCTCCCCGGCCGCCTGCCGCTGGCCAGCCCGGAGTGGGCGGTGGCGCTGGCGGCAGCGGCAGAGCTGGCGGCACCACCGAGCATGCGCTGCGGACCCTCGGCCCGCCCCTTCTCTCCGGGGCCCGCCCCTAGCCTCGACCCTCGGGTTTTGGCCCCGCCCCCTAGGGCTGGCTCTTCCTCTTGGCCCCGCCCCTACCTCTAAGCCACGCCCGCACGGCCCATCTCCGAGTGACTTTGAGAAGCCGACAGCTGCAGTTTTTTCCCCTCACCTGAGAGGTCTTTTTTTTTTTAATCCAAGGATTTTTCCACGTAATGCCTGCTCCCTGCAAAACTCGGGAAAACAAACCAAAAAAATGATAATAGGTAAAATAATAATTTACAAGTGCCTACTATTTGCCAGTCCTCTTCTTGAATCCTCTCAAACACACCTGAAAGTGTCAGTAGTATTGTTATCCCAGTTTTCAGCGCAGAAAAGCTAGGGTAATGTGGTGGTTAGAGAAATCCTGGCTGGGACCTCGGACAAATGACTTGCTCTGTCCCCATTATTGTTCCCTCCCCCTGTAAACTGGAATAACAGAGAAAGTGTCTTAGTCTGGGGAGGATTCTACTGGTTAACACATAAAAAGCATTCAACAAGTGCTACAATCTACTGTTAACTGACTTGCATAAAGTCACACAGCTGGCACCTGCCAGATCTGAGATTCAAATCCAGATTGGCAAAAACAATACTCTTAACCATTACACTTGTCAAACTTACTCTTGTGAAGTGGGTAGTACCTCTGTTTGGGAAAGGAAGCTGAGGCTGGGAGTGAAGTAGCCAAGATCATCCAACTTCGCCACAAGACCCTTCCCCCTTTGACTTGTCTCTGCGCTCTTGAATCCCACCTCTTCACCCTTCTCCATTGCCTTATCCCTCATCTATGCCACCACCTCCTCCACAACAGCTTCCAAAGGGCTTTTCTTGCTTGTACTTTTGTCCCAAATACAATGCATTTCTGCACCTTGGATCCAGAGTGATCTCCAAAAAGGTGTCAGACCACTGCCTTCTGATTAAAAATCTCCTGCAGTGGCTTTTATTCAATGGCCTTTAGAATAAAATCTGCAATGACCTCCTCCTCTTCCATGTTATCTCTTCCTACTCTGCCTTCACTACTTGGCTCCAGCTACACTGATCTCCCCGCTCAAACTCAACTTGGTTTTCTTGTCTCAGTCAACCTTGAAGACTCTCACCTTTGCCAGTCTAACAAGGCAGCCTCCTCTACATGACTCTCTCCTTCCAGGGCCTAGAATCCCCTCCCTCTCCTGTCTGCCTGGCCTACATGTGGTGATAGACAGCTCAACTGCTACTGACACTGAGTTCCTGTATTTTCCATTGTGGCTCTGCACACCCTACCCATACCTTGTACTTAAACTCTCTGCAGAGGCAGAAGTGGCCCAAGCTTAGCAAGCTACCCTTGTGTAGACAGTAATGCTAGCAGAAGTCCTGGTGATTGGCTTTGGAACCAGGGAGCAGAGCCAGCTTCCCTTGAACTACAGAAGCTGGAAGTGGGAGACAGTGGTTGCCCAAACCCATCCTCCCTTTCTCGCTGCCAGAGAAAGGGAGGACGGGTTCCCCAAACAACAACTGGTGGTCCAGTGGGTAAGACTCTGCACTCCCAACGCAGGGGGCCCGGGGTTCGATCCCTGGTCTGGGAACTAGATCCCGCCCGCATGCCACAACTAAGAGCCCGCATGCCGCAACTAAAAGATCCCGCACTCCACAACAAAGATCCCACATGCCACAGCTAAGACCCGGCGCAGCCAAAATAATAAATAAATACATAAATAAATATATATATTTTTAAAACTCCACCAGAACATCCAGGTGCTGAGATTTCCTGTTCATGTGCACCACGGGACAGGAAATGTTTTATTTATTCATCTCATCACCAGGATATTCAGGAATTCAGCCAAACCCAGCATCACTGCTTTGGTCATCTAGAAGAACCAGGATCCACAGAAGGCTGCCTGCAGGGTAACCTTCTCTGAATAGACCCCACGCGGTACGTTGCTCCTGTGGGGAAGCTGTAGACTCTATGCTCTGGTGCCTTCCAGACCTCTGCCCATCCTCCCTGACTCCCCTCTGGGTCATTCCCAACCCCCACAGCCGGGAGCTGGGGATGTCAGGGGTTTGGCCACGAATGTCAGGAGTGCCAGGGGCTGAAATGAGGCCAGGACCACATGGGTGTTGGTGAAGCACCTGGGAAACCAGGAGACTACCTGCTCCTTAGGCTCTTTAATTTCTATGACATTCCAGCCTAGACATGTGCCATAATTTATTAACCAATTCCCTGCTGAGGGACTTCTATTATAATCAGGGATTCAAAAATATCCTCACACATTTATCTTGATACACTTATTCAGCTGTTTTCTTAAGATACATTCCTAGAATCAGAGCTGCTGGATTATGCACATTTAAAATTGGCAAATTGCTCAACATCTCATTGCAGTCTTAATGGGCTTCTCTGGTTGCTAATGAGGTGGACCATGCTCTCAGGTATTTAGAGGCCATGTGCATTTCTTCCTTTCTTCTGGAGTTGGACCCCAGAAAAAGGATCAGTATTTAGAGCTTATGATAGAGGGAGAGCCTTAAGGAGGGTACTGGGGAGAGGAGAACGCTTCTTCTTGAGTTTCACTCACATCACCAATCACCATATGATTGAGTGACTGGGGAAGCAGAGCAAAGTCTCCTACATCCTTTCCAGTCTCCACACCCACCAACTTTTGAGTTCCCTCCTGCCCACAGCTCGCTGCCCAGTCTGGCAATTGACAGCCCCTGAAAATATGCTACAGAATTTAGAGAGCGCTCCAACTTTTCTAAAGGAGTACAGAGGACACAAGAAAGAAAATGTCTAAAACATGGTTAGAATGACATCCCTCAAGACCAAGGACTGAGAGGCCCTTCTGTTTGCCTTCTAGGGAGGCCACAAGCATGCATGTGGGTGGGGGGGAGGTTGGGTGGGAGAACCACATACATCAAAGGGAAAAATTTGGTCAGGAAATAGAGGCAATAAATTGGCATTTGGCAACATCCTCTCTAATCTGGTCTTCTTCATCAATTCTTTTCCTCTCATCCCCTCTTTTTATCGTGACCCTTCAGAATATTTGTGAGGCTGCAGGAAGTGAACCTCTGTACTAGAAACTGAGATAAAATGAGGAGGCCAGGCTCCCACAAGGCCTCCACGGTCTATCCTTCCTCTAGGCCACAGCAGAGGCCAGTTTTGTAGGTGCCCAGAGGATGAAGCCCTCCTCAAATACAACATGTAGTTTCACCCACTGTGGCTAGGGCTGTCTGTGGCCCAGTCACAATTTAAGCCACCCCTCATCTTCCCTATCTGGTTCACCTCTCTGCCACCAGTGCCCTGCACTCTGCCTGACACACATCAGTGGGCAAGAAACTGTTGCTGCCTCCATCCCTGGTTGGAATGAAGCTGGGGATTAAACAGATTAAATCACCTTAAGCCATTGATGAAATGCAAATATATTTCCCCAATTTACCTAGAACCTAAGCAGATAAGAAAAAAATCCTTAACACGAGGGTTGGATTTTGTTAGGAGTCAAATTATCCCCTGAAACATAAGAAAAGATAAAGTGATCATGGAAACATTTTGTATCCTGAATCATTTTCAGCTGAGAAGAACTAAAAACAATGAACGGTGGTTAGAAGCCGTGGGCCAAAATTCTAATTTATTTTTGGTATTGCTATGTACACGTATTATGCACTAATCAAGACATTAAAGGTAAAGTGTGTCCTCCACCCCATCTCCCAGCAGGCTGAGCGTGAAAGTTTCCCTGGGCTTTGGGGAGAGCAGTACAGGGAGAACTGATACACTCCTGAGAGCCCCGCCGATGTCAGTTCGGCCCCGGGCAGTCTTGGCTCGAACCGGGTAGTTGTCATCATCTCCACTTCACAGATGGGGAAGCCAAGACTCAGCCAGGAGTTCCCAGACTCATCTGATCCCCCAAACTCTGCCTGGGGCGCGGGCCCGCATCCTTCCGGAGCCGGCCTTGGCGCCGCCCCGACTGCCCAGAGGCCCAGGGCGGGGGCGGGCGTCAGACCCGGGGCGGCCGACCCAACCCCGCGCCCCGAAACCCCCGTACACGCACCCCAAAGTGTCGCGGCCATTACACGGAGTTCACGCGTCCACTGCCACTTCCCGTTTCTTTTGAAGCGCGGGGAGCCCAGTCTCCACTGTAGCTGCCAGAGGGCGCGCGTCGTCCAGGTTGGAGACGCCCAAACAATCGCGGACTGCGCCGCCGCGAGGACACAACACTTTAGGGCATAGCCCAGATGCAGGAGCAAATGCTCGCTGTTACCCCAGAGCTGGTGCTAAGTTTGCGTGGAAGTAGAGTTCAGGAGGCGGTAAGAAAAGAATGTTAAATATGGGCTTTCAGTAACAGTGTAGCTCTGGGCAATTCAGTTAACCTCTCTGGATGTCACTTTTCTTAATGGCCACATAGGAATGACATGGATGCAGACCTCAGTGGGTTTTTGTAAATCTGAAGTAAGCAAATGGCTATGAGTTGTAAACCAGGACTTGATGGAGGCAGGCCCAGGGGCAGCTGGAATCCAGACAGTAGCCAGGGGAGATGGCCTCCTCTTGTCTCCTTCCGGAGCTCACACCCTGGTTTGGATATGCACTAGACTGGAAGGCTATGGACCATAACCTGTTTACCATTCATTCATTCAACAAGTGCTCATAGAGTCCCTGCACCATATCAGGCATTACACCAAAAGCTGGGGACCAGTGTGAACAACACGGACACTGTCCCCAACAAGACACTGTCCCAGTTGTCATAGAACCTACAAGCAAACATTCCATGGGGGACACTGGCATTACTCAAATAACCACATGACCAGGGGATAATTACAAGCAGATGGATTGTGTCTAAAGAAGTGATGCCTGGACTTCCCTGGTGGTCCAGTGGTTAAGAATCCGTGCTTCTACTGCAGGGGGCATGGGTTCGATCCCTGGTGGGGGAAGTTCCGCATGCCACACAGTG